CTGCAGCAGCAGCTGCTGCCTGGGCTTTTTCTTTTTCTTTCTTAATTTTAGATAAGTCTCTCTTTAGCTCCTCCTGAAGTGTATTAAATAGAGAGGCAGGCACTTCATATGATTATTCCAGGACAGCATTAAAATCTAGACATAAATCCCCATGTTCACCAGAAGAAAATAATTAACGGCGTTTAAATATACAGATTTCTAACGTGCTAACGTAACCTACAACTCACAGGACAGTAAGGGATGACGCTCTTGGCCTACTATGACACACTGACTGCAATTTAGCAGAAGCTGTTTCAGGAAACAAGGTAATTTCAGTCCAGGTGAAAAACAAGCAGCATAAAAAGGGACATGTACCAGGTCTCACAGAGATCCGTGCATCTACAGCCACAACTTCGTCCTGTATGTTTCCTTAAAATCTCACTGAGCAAACAGGTAAACACAGAAACATCCTCCCCAGCTTAAATAACAGTCCTTACCTGCACTTCAATTTGTAGTTCTTTGTCCAGGAGTGCTCTTTTCTTTAATATTTCAGCTTTCAGCTGTTCTTTATGCTTGAAAAGCAGAGCCGAGAGCTTAGTAGCGTTCTGTTTACTACGCTTCTGTTCCACACTCTCTTCTCGCTTTCGTTTCTTAGCTGCCTGTTTTTCTTCTTTGTCAATCTTATCCAGAATGTATTTCATCACTTGGTTGCACACAATCATTCTGGGGACGAAATAAAGAAAGAGGCCATTGTGCTGAGCTGCCTATTTCTCCCCAGTTGAGAATGTAGAATCATTTAATTCTCCAGTCTCTGCACATTAAATTATTACATTTCTTAAGACGTGCAAGGTGAGTTTAGTAACACACATTGCTCCCACTCACACTTATTTACTAGAGCACCAGTGGGAGGGATCAAGTCCCTAGTTAGGCTCAAGAGGGCCAGTCCCAATTTCATTTAAGCGATCTGTGTACTGATCCTTCCTCCCCTTTCCCTATAAAACTCCTAACAAAGCTTAGGCTTTAGTATGATGAGAGATATTTTCATTCAGTTCAGTTTCCACAAGCATGTTTGAAAGAGCTGGATTCTGTTTATTCTGATAGAGGATCAAAGCAAGTCACAAGCCCATTAACTTCTAAAACATACATTTCTACCCTCCAGTGACCACTGTGCACTACTAAGCTTTTGTGTTTTGGCATAAGGACTGACAAATATATTTCATTTTTAGAAATCACTATAAACCAGTTCCAAATTTCTTCACTAATGAGAACTCAGCATTTATTTTTCATGTTTGTTGTATACTCAGCTATAAATCTCTTTGCCTGCTCACTTGTTCTGCAATTTTCATTTATTTTACATTTCAATTAGACAATGAATGCATTTTAGTTCTTCTGAATTTCCTTTTCTGTTCCTGTTCTATTTCAAACCCACTAGAAAACTAAATGCTTCTTGTTGCCAGAGTGACCATGAGAAAGAACCCCATTGCCAAATGAGCTGAAAGCAAACAACAAAACAGCAATGGCTGGGACAAGTAGCTGCTTCAACTCTGTACGTACTCAGACATATTGTCTTTTGATACACATTTGTATTTTGGTGGCACACGTAATATACTAGCAAGTAGCACCTAGTGATACTGTTGTAATCAGCTGAGCTGGTACTCTGATTTGATGACCAAAATGGTATAGAAAACAGTTATTTTTCCTACTATCTGACAACACGCACACTTGTGATTATCCTATTGAAGCAACTGCATAAGTGAAAAGGAGTCAAAATAACCCCAAACACTCCAAATTTGTGTTCAGCAGCTTCAAGTGTTTGTCAAATAGCACTGTCTTCCAACTCCCACATTCCTTCTGTAGAGTGGACAAGAATGGAAATACACTGCTCTGACAAAAGACAAACAAAAATCAGGCTCTTTTTTTGCATCAGAACCATTAATTCTCCATTCTGTGCTCCCTTAAGGATGGTTTTCATCTTGAATTTAAAAACGGTGTCCAGCTCCAAACACATGGAATACACTTAAAAACATATCATTAAATTAGAGCTGAGAATATACAGGATTCAATTACTTAAAGTTAAGAACATCATTATGAAAATTACTTCCGTGTTTCATTATGCCACCATTCAAAGACATTACAAATGTAAAACTGTCACATCTAAAGGTGCACATTCACCTCTGATTTTCTTCCCTCTCTGCTGGAGTCAGTGTCTTCTTCTGTTTCAAGTGCTCTATGACAGCATTCTGTTTCATAACCACCTGTAGGATGATACAGAACCCAAAATAAAATATGAAAGCTTTAGCCAGTATTTCATATTATCACTGGGAGAACCAGGACATCTCCTAAGTTCAGTAAGTGACAAAAGAAAACTGATTTTATCAGGGGGGCAGTGCTTGTTTAAAGCCATTACTTGAAAACTGAATTGAAAACTAACCCCCCCCCCCCCCCCCCCGAGTAGGGTATTCTGTTTATGTCAAGTTTAAACCTAGGGACTAAATGTAAATTGACAGTATTCCTCCAGTGACTGGTTGTTTCACTTAAAAAATGGTAACAGCCTATTATATATGTATTTTTTAAAGCCCTGCAGCCATCCAACAACATTACATTTCAGATACCTCTTTGAAACCTCAGTTTTCTACAGCAGGTAATGAAAGTATTGTACATGTGTTCTGAACATCAGCTCTCCTCTCTACACCCTGTCTTTCCTGAACTGAGAATAAAGTTAAGATTGTCCCAGCAGCTAGTGGTAAGTTGAATCCAGGTGCCAGAAGACTGCAAACATGGTACAACTGACTTGATGTGCTGTGAATTAACCTAGAATATTTAATTAAGTTGCCAAAAGCAATCGTGCACTAACTTTGACAGAATCAAACTAACTGCCTATCAAATGTATGAACATGGTTAACAAGAACAGGCATTTAAAATGAGATCTTTTTTTCATTCATTAAGTTTTAATTTCCTTCTGTTAACTTTACCTGTTTCTGGATAATGTCACTTTGATTAGAAGCCTGAAGGGTGTGCTCACGTTTAAATTCTATCTGTTGCTGCTTTTTCTTCTGTTGCTGCTCTCTGAGCTGCTGAACTCTCTGCAGCTGCTCCTGAACACTAGCTGCTTGAACTGTTACCACATTCTGAATCTGGTGAGCCTGTACTGGGCTAGTTTGTTGGATCTGAATAGGTAACTGAAGCTTGATCTGCTGGGGCACACTGCCTTGTTGGGCTTGTATCTGAGCCACAACATGTGACTGAAGCTGAGAGAGAACTTGGACTTGTTGCTGAAGCTGAGGCACTGTAATAAGTTTTGTTGGAGGCTGCTGAAGTTGTAGCTGAGGACGAGCTGGGGATTGCACAGGAACCTGATTTAAACTTTGAGTAGTTGGAAGGGTTGAGACCGAAGCCTGAACCTGAGGTTGTGATTGCTGCAGCTGCGCTTGAGTTTGTATGGGAGCATGGGGCTGCATCTGAATCTGTTGTTGGGTTGTAGTCTGCACCTGAGCTGGTTGCTGAGGCTGGGCTTGGGACTGGCCTTGTGGAAGGATTGCAGTCTGCGGCTGACTCGGGACTTGCACTGGAGACTGCCCTTGAGCCTGGGTCTGTGCTGGAGACTGAACTGGAGATTTAGATGACTGTGCTTCAGGTGTGACTGGAGAGTCAGCGGATGCTGCAGTCTGAGCTTCAGGCTGGGTCTGAGCTTCAGGCTGAAGTGCTGGCTGAGGTGCCTGTGGCTGGGCCGGCAGCACAGGCTGAGCACTCTGATTCTGTACTTGAGGCTGGGCTTGCTGCTGACTCTGAGGCTGTAGCTGAGCTGGTGGCAGCGCTGATGTTGGCTGTGCCTGTGGAGCTTGCTTCTGCTCCCCTGTAGCTGAGAAGGATAAAAACAAGTATTCCATTAATTTCAAATGACACATCCATGAGCTTTACTAATTTGAACCTTTTAGAACTATTCTAAACCTCCGTGCAGAAATTCAAGAGATTTCTAGGATTATAATACACTTCCAACCAATTTACTGTAATTGGACCATCTCCAACTGCATTAAAAACTCCCATGCTACTGACACTGAAGCTTTTTTTATTGTGAAATAGAACAATGGTTACCTGAGGTTGAAGTAGAAACTGTTGTTGTAGTTGTGCTAGCTGTAGTAGCAGCTGCTGGTAGTGGGGTGAAAAGAAATCTCTGAATTGTACCATTTGGCATAGCTGCTTGCATAAGCTGTTGTCCTGGACCAGGTATTACAGTCACACCCTGAGGGATTAATTGTAATTGACCAGTAGTTTGACCTTGTCCCTGAATTACCACAGTTAATCCTTGACTGCCACCCTAAAAAAAAAAGGTAATATTGATGTATTAGTGATTAATTCTTACACAGATTTTGCTGAAAATCAGAAGAATTAGGGGTTTGAATTTCAGAATTCAGTACTTCTACCCTTGCACTGAAAACGCTTCTTAACCAAGCATCAGACCTGTAACTCACAGGAGTCTCTTTTTACCCTTTGCTTGAGTCTAAGCTTATTTTTGCCAATAGACCTCCATGATCTGAGCAGAAGCTGCAAGAACTTTTTCCTCCTCCAGTTCCAGATACTGTAATTTTTCCTCTGACACTGTGGATAACATGAATGAAAACTAAATCTTCACACAAAGTCAAAAAGACAAGGAATGAACATTACATTCTGAAGGCCATGCAAAATAATTACCTCCCTTACTGCTATTAACTCAAAGACTTTTTTCCCTGATGCTAGTTACATTACTGGGGAAAACAATAGGAAGCAATATTTAAAACTTTAAATATTTAAGCTTCTTTCAGGCTGTAATTACACTATTGGTCCCTTCTAAATGAAGGCCAAACCATACATTTATGAGTGGATACACCACGCTGCTGAAACCCAAAGGTTTGATAAGTGTTAGCACATTTCCATGCTCAGAGGCTGTCAAACATTTTACCTGTCCTTGTGTTAGCTGTGTGAGCTGGGCCATAGTAAGCTTCACTTGTCCCTGCTGGGGGCGAGTGGGCTGTGGTGTGGTTTGTGGCTGTGTTTGTTGAGGTGGTGTTCCAGAACTTGTGACCGTTTTCTGCCCAGCACTGGAAGAAGCTGTGCTGGTACTAGAAACTGCTGTTGAGACAGGCTGACCCCTGATTATCTGAGTGACCACTTGCTGTGTCTGACCTGTAAGAGGCGATAAGAAACACGTTTCCAATATAGCAAACCTCTGATCACAACAACTTGCAACAATCAGACAAGTGAAGCAAACACTGCAATTTGCACATGTATTTTCTTTACAAACCATTTCTCTGTGTGGTTGACTGAAAAACGTCTGCAAAATGTTTTCTATTTTAATTCAATTCATGGATTTAATGCACAATTATTCTATTTTTGTTTGGCCTTTTTTTTTTTAAATGAATGGACTTATGGACTTGAAAACATCAGGATGAGGTATGTTTGTATTGGGACACAGGATACAGGAAGTATGACGAAACAAACCATGGATTTCACACTGGAAATTTAAATATTAAAGTGAACCTACTGGCTGGAAGAATACCTTGTTGCACCACCACAGGTGTTCGAATGATGGTCTTCCCAAGCGCTGACTGCTGCAGTGGTGTCCGTATCACTGTCATACCCGGGCGAAGCGGTGTCCCTTGCACTACCTACATGCACCAAAATGGACGTGTGAGACAAGGCACTGGGATACGCCTGAAGTTTGGTGGTGGTTTTGTTTCTTTCTTTGTTCAAATACAGTAAGAAATGACAACATGCAAGCAGATCCAGTATTTTTTCATCTACACTCATACCATTAACCTTACCAAGCTCTAAACTATTAGTTTTTCCAGTTGGAGAGAATTGTTGTACCTCTTTGGAATAAAGGATTGCTAAGATTGAGCCAACACCATTGAAAAGTGACAAGACAGAACTTCCAATATCTGCAAGCAACTTAAAATACATGCAGTATATTCTTTTGCATTACATCGTCAGAAAAACATCTTACTTGTGAAGTGCTTGTTGTTCCTAATGTCCCTGTGGTATTTGGCCGAATGGTTACAGTTGCTGTCCTTGGCTGGAATGAAGTAAATGTTTGACTTGCACCTGTAGTTGATGGAATGATACCCAATACCTTTTGCTGAACTTGAACAACACCTAATTAAAGAAAAATTGAGAGTTCATTAATGATGTGACTGCAGCAAAAGAAGTAACTGCAACTCCAGGATGGCATTTAGAAATCAGTCTCCAGGTTTCTAGCACATCTTTGAGCCTTTCAACATTTCCTAGGAGAGCCTTTGTCACATTACAAAAACAAGCAGCAATATACCCTGTTGATAGTCCATCTTCATTTTAAGTTAAGAAATAGGTATTTTAGAAAAGATTAATGAAAGAGTGAATCTTCACAAAGATCAGTTTGATGGTAACTGTTGAGTAAGTCCTTGCATTGTCACGGTGCCACAGATTAATATTATACAACCATTAAAAGCTATAATCTCATTAATTTAAAATGTAGGAGACCAGTTTAAACACCTTTCACCTATGAGCTTGTGGTGCTGAAGAAACTGAGTAATGCTTTTCCTGTCATCTAAGAAACTTCAATACAAAACTAGTAGGCTTCATGGTTTCCTCGGATACTAAGGATAACAGAGACATAGAATAGAGCTTTTCTGTTCAATATACATTCACAAATCTCAAAATATTAAATCCTCTTCTTGAGGCAAGAAGAAAAACCCTGACCTTAGTTTGGAGCCAAACTCTTGCTCATTGATGAAGAGCAGATGTAGTTATTAATAACTAAGAACAGTAGCCTTTTTTTTTTTCTTTCATTAAGAAAGTTGTTTTGTTGCTGTATAATTAAGTTAACAAAAAACATGCTTCATTCCACATTGTTAAAAATAAAACTCCTAATTTTGCACAATGAAATGCAGAATAATTTACAGGCAAAACAGTTGCATTTTCCCCCTACAGACACAAATATGCAATACAGGGGGAACAAGTTCTAGAAACTTGTGTGTAGACATATACATAAATATTTTCTCCCCCTTCAAGTCCCAGTTTATTTCACTGGGAAAATTGTGTCAATGGAGAATGAATGAGCAAGCTGGAACACATATTTAATGCAGTTCCCTTTCCCCTACCTCCTTGAGTTGATGGCACATTGACGGCAACAATCTTGCTGTTTGCAGGGAGTGGCAGCTTAGTTATCACTTTCCCTGCCATCGTTACTGGACTGCCTGAGATCTGGAAGGTCTGCCCTGTGCTGGCAATGGTTGTGGCTGAAGTGGCAGCTGTGCTAGTGGCTATTGAGGTACACAGAACAGTCAGTTTTAGAGCAGAATAATGAGTCAATGAAATGACTTTTTCAAGTATGAAACAGCAAACTATTTTTACAATCATTTTGGAATGCGTCATACTTTCTTTGGCAAAGATTCTTTTTTTGGATACAGTACATTACAGCATAGAATGCTTTCATTATCAATGATTACTAGTACAACAACTGTGAGTAATAAATGAGACAGGTCAGAAATAAGACTACCTAGCAAGTCTGAACAAAGGAAAATTAGCCAGGTAATATCTCAGAAGCGTCCTGCTGACTTAGCAAGAGATTAAAGAGCAAAGATAACAAGAAATGTAATAATGATACATATTCTGGGTAGGTAAGTGCTCTGTATAGGATGAACTCCAGCATGAATCCTTTTCATGATAAAACGCTACTTACCTGTTGAAGATTGGCCTTGTTTAACCCAAGTAGCAAAAGTCTGATGGAAATTCTTGTTCTGTTGGAATGTGACTGTAGCTGGAGAACCCACTTTTGTAGTAAGTACTACTTTGGTTCCAGTGGGGACTGGGCCCGTTAAAGGGCCTACCACAACTTTCTGTGGTGTTGAGACAGTAGTTGCAGTGCTGCTGGATGTAGTGACTGCAGGGGACACACCTACTGTAGGCATCTGCTTCTGCTGTTCCAGCCGTTTCTATGGAATTCAGGAGAAAAATGAACAAAGGGATAATTAGGGTTTGTAAAATAAATGCTGTCTTTCCCAGCACTGGAAAACAAAGAACTCTGGCAGGATTTTAGTTCAGGTTGTAAAGGACTGACGAATAAGCTGTGTGCACGCCTTGTAGCATAAGATTCCTTGACACAGCCAGAAATTTTCCTTTATAGCATCTTTAAAATCCTCAGCTTATACTAATTTCACTGCACATTTTACTTCTAAGAAAACTTAGTCTCAGATTAATTTGAAAGGTTACAAAGCTTTGACAACTACCCATCTATTTGGCTTTGACCATTTGCACACAGCCTGCACCTCTGCCAGTAAGCAGTGCATCATTAACACAGTTTATTAGTAGCATTCCTGGGGTTAGAGCTGCCTGCACTGAGATCCCACCAGCTACAGAAAGAAGACTGTATCATTTTACTTCACCATTAAGAATGTAATATTAAAAATCACTTTTTAACTGTAAATCCAGTTTGCAGCCTGCTTAAGAAAATTAGGTTCAAAATCCCTTACCTTACCCAGCAACCTTCTGAGCTGTAACTGTCCAGAAGGTATATGCAATTTAGAGAGCCACTTTGTGAAGGGATGGTATCAGTAAGCTCTTTTAAAATCCAACACATCTAACATTCTTCCCTAAGTTACTGGAATCATCTCTCTATGTATTAAATTCCAGTGTTTGGTTAGTATTACATTGTGGTAATGCCCACAAATCAGAAATACTTATTGACTAATAATACATTTTCTTCAGGGAAGATGAAATGAAAAAGGACTAAGTTGGAAAAAAGCAGAATTCTTAATAATGTACATGAAACACCAACATGGTATTTGGTCTCCTAATTTTAATTGCATACATTTATACATACCACATCTATACACACATATCTATATATAGTCACATAAAATTATCAATAGGCTTCATTCAGCCAACTTAAGATGGTATAAAATCAGAAGATTCAATTTGATGGAAGCATGAAGAGCAAATGCAGTTGTATTCCCAAGTCAGCTTTCCACTACACCACAGGAACACCTTACCTGGAGTTTGGTGCTTCTCAGCCTTCTTTTAAAATGGAAGCAAACTAAACCTTTTTGAAGTGTAATGAATTAGATGGTAACCCCCCCACCTCCCCAAAGGCAACCCAAAGCAAATCTTTGCTGTAACCCCATTTCAAAATAACGGATGCACACAGTGTGAGCAGCATTGTTTGATGGTTTAGTTTGCACAGGAAGTGGAATCTCTTGAAAAATGGTGTTTGTAAGATAGGGATAAACTGTGTTTGCCATATTTTAATGCATGTTGCTGACAGGTGGGACTACCAAGAGCTCCCCCACCTGCTGGGCAGCCAATCGTTGGTGTTTTAGTTGAGCCTCCAATTGGGCCTTGAATTCCTCTGCCTTCTTCTGTTCACTAACCTTAGCCTGTTGTTCAACTGCCTGTGCCTTTTCCTTCTCCACCCTGCCAAAGACACAACCAAAAGTAAGTTATAGCACCAGACAAAATCCAACCCTCAAACTGGATTTCCTTTTATCCAGTTTAATTGCTCTTATAAGAATAAACATCAAGACTGAGAATCACTGAAAAACTGGCCACGGCTTTACAAGTATTTTGTAATACATTACTGAAGTTGCATGCAACATCCCTGAAATATTTGGATGCTGAACTACGGCATCACCTTACAGGAAACTAGTAACCGAAACGGGAATTTGTAATTACATCTGAGATTGCACACAATCAAAGCAACACCATTAATTTAAAAGAATTCTCTCCAAGTGACTCAAAAATGTTGTTCCAACTCTAAGCATGTAATACTGAAAATACTCATTTATGACTTGAATATTCTCAGGCTGAATTTCCCTTTACGTTACTTGCACACATTCATTTTCTTTGTATTACAGAAGTATTTAAACACATAGTGTTTAAAGTCATGCTAAAAGTAGCCTAAAGCTTTTCCATGCATTACCATAATAGCCTTTTAGCATACAACGGTGATTAGTTCATAAGCATGGAAAATTGATATTAGTTGTAACAAACCTGTAAGACCTTCATAAATTAGTTTTCGTACCAGCAAATAGTTTAGCTTTACAGCTTTAACCTTCATCACCATTATCAAAAGGCATGGTGAAAATGCAACACACGTATTCTCTTACTGACTGTAGCTACCAAGTTTGTGTTCTCCAGCAGGAACTTGGATTTAACATACACACACAAATTAAAACTGCTTTCTTTAAAAGCTCATTTGAGCTCATTTACCTTTCAGCAAATGCCCTGATCTCCCATAGTTCCAATTCCTCCTCTGCTACCCAACTTTCGATTATAACAGGGCCCGTTTGCTTGGGTGTTTCTGGCCTTTTTGGCCTTAGTGCACTTGATCGCAGTCCCTTCCTCTGAGGTGTTGGAGTTTCTTTAGAGAACAGTCAAAACACACACATTAAGCTCAATCGTAAAACAAAACTGAAGCGTAAACCAAGATTTAGTGTCTTTTACAGTCTCATTTTATAGACAGGAAAGCCTTTCAGCTTGAGAGAGATCAGTTTGTTAAATGCATCATTTGTTTCCTGTAGGTGAACGAATAGTTCATGCCAAGCTATATTTGCTCCCCTGATGGTCTGAATTAACATAAAGATCCAGTTACCTTCACTTCTGTAGGAGCTTATGGGAAGGAGAAAAATGTATAAACAAACATACCTTTTGGAGCCTCTGGTACACCAATGGGACAAATAATTTTTCTTATACAGTACTCTGACCGGATTCCATACGGACCAACATCTCTTCGCTTGATTATTTCTGTTGTTGTAATTTCAGTTTCAGATGTTTCTACAACAAATTAGTCCCGATACATTAATAAGAGAAAACAAATAAAAGCTTAATCTCCAACTGACCCAACATAATCAAGGTAAAGATAGAGCAACTAGTATAAGCTGCTGACTAAAAAATTTGACTGCCATAGCTAACATCAAGCCTGTACAGAAATGCTTGCAATGTGTCTGACAGTAAAAATTAGTAGCAGGAGTTTTTGCATTAAGAAACCCAGAAATTTAAGGAAATAATACCTGTACGTGTAGTTCCTCCCCCAGGTGGAGCTTTTGCTGCCATATCATCCCATTTGAGACATGCCCACAACAACCGCAGCATAAGGCTGACGCCAGCCAGTGATTTCACTGTTTGAAGTCGGTACCTAACAACAGAGCATGAATTATATTTTCAAATCAGAATTCATTTAGAACACCTAATCAAACAAAAGGGACTGTTACTGAACAATACAGAAAACTATTGAATAATATATAGCAAAATTTAATTTCATCACGTCCTAAACTTTTCCTCAAAAATGTAAAGCATGTACCTCCAAGTGATCCCAAAAGTTGGCCTTGGGGATGGATATGGCCAGATATCCAAGGCAGGCTTTGCATTGTAATTGAAATAGGGAACTTCTCTGATCCCTCCTTTCCTGGCCAGCTTTTTCAAGTCATCATTGGGTAAAACAAAGATACTTTTTTTACTGCTTTTGGTAACAAATTTTCTGTAAGATGGTAAGGCAGTTCCAGAACGGGTTTTTTTGGGTCTTGAAAATTTCATTAACTTCACTTTGTCTTTTGTAGAATATTCTTTGCTGACAGTCATGGAAGTCACCAATGTGCCTTCTGGGGTGGTCAGTGAATCAGTTACTGTTGTTGTAACCACTGTTTTACTATGCTCTTGCACAGAAACTACATCAATGTTACTGTCTGTAGCTGGAGTGGTGAGCTTAGTCACAGTAGTGGTGGTAGTGACAGTGGATATGGCACAGTTTTCTGTAGATGACACTACTGTTGTCTTCTCATCCTTAGAAGCTACAGTCTCTGCAACTTTATACACAGTTTTGGATTCTGTAGACACAGTCGATGTTGTGGTTGTCACTTCAGTAATTACAGTTTTTGTTTTACTTTCTCCATTAACATTCTCCATTTTATATGTCTGTACACCATTCTGATCAGCAAAGTGACTACTCAAGCTAGATTCCTCACGTGAGGTTACAGGCGATGGAGTAACTTTCTTCTCCTCGACTACTTCAGTTTCCATGGATTCTGTTTCACTGTTCAGGTTATTTTCTTTACAGGCAGTGCCAAAAGCAGATCTCTCAGGAGAAAGACGTTTTTCTTCACTTTTCTGCACAAACTTGGGAACTTCATCTGGTGGCTGAAGACTCTCTCCAGATTCCAGCTCAGGCGAACTCTGCAGACGTGACTTAGAGTCCACGTTATTTTTGTCCTTTGTGTCCTCTACCATGATGTCACCATTCATGAATGGTTTTACTGAAGATTCCTTAAAAGTCAATGGCTTTATTTCATGTTCTTGAATGGATTTATTAATATTATTAACTTTTGGTTCAGTATCACCCCCTACCTTTGTTTCACAACTATCTTTAACTGAGCAGTCATCATTTGGTAATACTTTAACGTTGCTGTCTTTTCCATTCATTTGAAATGCTGATGTTTCTTTTTCCATCTCAGTTTCTTCATCCTTATTATTCTTTTTGTCAGTAACACTATTTAGATTTGTCTGATCGAGATATTTGGTTATGGTCCTTGCCTCCATTTTCTTTTGACCATTAGCCTCAGTTAGTTTAGAGCTCAGTAAATCCTCATCAACTTCTACCCCATCCATGTGTTCCAGCGTTTGACTTTCAAGGTTTCTTTCAGCAATTAGCTCTTTTTCAAATGGTTCTAGATCTTTACTAACTGATTTCTGGTGCAACATGATCTTGTTTTCAGATTTACTTTCACTCTTTACTGAAGCCATTTTTTCCTCCATTTCACTTTCTTGAGAGGACGTTGGTTCAATATGGCTTTTTAGCATACAATTGCTTTCTGGATCTTTGCTCTGATGTTCTGAATTTCCTTCTGAATCTGTTTTTTCAAGGGTGGCCAGAGCATCTTTTCTACAGCTGCTTTCAGTTACCACCGGCTCTATGTTTTCACGTTCACACTGAGACACTCTGGAAGTAGGTAGGTTTTGTTTCAAAGGTTTTTTGCTGGTTTCTGAAACATCCCATTTGATTCTACCTTCTGCATTTGTTTGTTTCAAGCCATCCACAAAGGTACTCTCAGACTCTCCAAGAGCCTCTTGCCCTTGACACTTATCAGCAGTCATAGGTTCAGGCTTGCTTTCTTTACTATCATTCTGAATGGAGCTTTCACCTTCAGATGATTGACGTGAGTCTTCATCCAGTAGCTGGCCTTCTCTTTTGGATAGCCTGTTTGTCAAAGGCAAAGAGGGTTCATCCAGCTCACTGGTTTTGGAACAAGAGACGCTGCTAATTGGCAAGCAGTCCTGTTCTGCATCTTCAGTTTGGGTCTTATCTGAAATATAGGTTTGATTTTGGGAAGACATGTCAAACTGGCTTCCTTCTTTTACTTTTCTCATTTGTAGCTCATCTATGTTTTTTGGGGGGCTTACAGGTCGAATGCCTCCAGTTTTAGCACTAGCCTCCAGTTTCATCCTTTCTAGCCGCTGTTTTTCTTCCAGTGTAAACTGTTTTATCCGCCTCTCAAGTAGTCCATCTAATTTTGATGATTTTACTTTCCTTTTGTAGCAAGTCCTTAAATGAAACCCCTCACTGACATTAATTATATCCAGCTTACAATGACTGTCCTCATCTTTTACGGGGGATTCAATTTTCACATCATCTACATCCATAGGTTCTTCCTTGATGACTTTATCGTTTTCACCATCGATTTCTTTTTCCACTGTGAAGAAGAACGAACTCTGCATCAGTAAGCTCCCCTAACAAGGAATACCAAACTATAGTTTTACATTAACAACTAAGAAATAAACGGACCTTTTAGCATATTAATAGATTTCAAGGAAAAGGGAACAAGAAGTTCAGACATTACTACACGGGATGATCAGCAATCTTTTAAGTGAAACATTTTAAATGTCCTGACAAAACATGTTAGTTTCTCAATAGTTATTTACAAGGTCCTGTGCTCTCAACCCATGCATGGCTGTAATGAATAGTTTTACATAATTTCAGTATATCATTACCTTTGTCTCTTGCACCATCTAGGTTTTCAGAAATCCTATCAACTTCCACTTTTTCTTGACGTGACTTTTCTTCTTTCACTTGTACTTTCTCTGAGGTTTCTGAAACATCTGCTTTGTCTTTTGCTTGCAGCTCATGAGAATCCTTTGTTCTGTCTTTTTCTGGTTTTACCTTAATTGGACCTTTTCGTTTATCCAAGTTGCATTTTTCATCTTCACTCTTTGCTATTAACAAATGAAGTAAATGGTGTCAATTATTCAGAATATCTTTCATACTCTGCTACATTTTAATGTATGTTATAGTTTATCTCTCAAACCACTCATCAATAGTGAAATTCAGAAACAGAATTAAGTACACAACGGTGACATTATTAAGCTTAGTGCAATAGTGAATTGAAACACCATAAAATCTAAAAGCCCACCAGAGTCAGGAGTCCATGTTCAGCTTTTCTCACACAAACATAGCCCAAACCCCCCCATGTTTCAGGAAACTAAATACCACTTTCTGAAAACCCAGTCTATTACCAGCATATGAATTCAGACTCTGAAAATTCACAATTATAATAATTTTCATTTGTACAGTTAAGCCAGAATGGCCATTAGCATTCAAATGGCTTTGTGCTTAGCACAGTACTGGCTATTTATTGCAATAGAGAAAGCAAAATAAATCTAATTTATCAATCATACAGAAAACACTAAAAGCAGCAGCAACAGGGAAAGTATTACATCAATAAGTGAAGAAAGAAATAATTTTGATGTGTAATACAGGGCGAGCCACCAGTTTCTAAATTTTAAAAGGAAACTCACAATGAAATTCATTATAAGTAACACTTGTAGAGTTCTGGATGCATTCTAAAAGTTACCTGTGCAAAACTTTCCTTTTTATATCTAAATCCTTGGAACAAATAAGCAAAAAGGTGCAATTAAACTTCCTAGAAAAATTAATTTCTTTCCCCTTACGAAACTATTGTTCCCAGATAAAATTGCTTAATAGTATTCTGATAACATGGGGTGTGGGTAATTTCTATAGATATATACACACATCCCAATATTTTAGATGTTACTTTTTGCTTGTCATTATCTACATAATTTTATCTGCCTTTAATTTACACAAGGCTTTACAAAGCTGTACAACTATTACACACAACTTTGTAATTGAAACAATTTAATGTAGCTGTAAAAAAATGTCTATGACAACTGATCTGGTTACACTGACAAAGATTAGCAGGTATCCCCTTAAAACTTCTCTGGTACACCATTTAAATGAAGTCTACATAAGAAATATCACTTGCAAATAATTAACTGCATAAGCAAGCACTAAAAAGCAGTATGTTAGTAACTTAAAATAAGGTAAGCAATGCAGACACTTACTTGGTAGCAACTTCCTGTAGTTTGCATTAGTATTTCCAGGCAGTTTGGGCAGAAACCTGTGGACATGTGTTTTACTAATCCAGCTCCAGCCACCATACCCTGTTACTCTATATTCTTCTCCTTTTTGCTTCCAAACCTGTCAAATATTTTTACAGTAATAGTTTTAATGGTGCTATTTGCTGCATTATTAATGTATATTAATGTATACATTCATTAAAAACACTTAAGATTATTTAAAAACCAAACTAAACCCTTTTATTTACAGACATTTCAAGCAAGTTGAAGTATATTTGTGAAATAATATACTACCTAAAATTAAATCTGCTGATAATTACATCAGTTTTATCATAGTAACATCTAAAAAGCATATTTATTTCATCTGAAACTATTTACCTAAAAGCTGAAAGATTATACAAGTTTTTGAATCAACCCATCCAACAAAAGTATCTTGTATCTACAGTAGGAGAATACAAAGAGGCTACTATAGTAGCTCCTATCACACTACATAACTTTCCAAAGTAAAGGTAGCTAACCTACATTTTCTGGGGGATGGGAGGGTTGCAGTGGACCAAGACAGACATATGGACAAGATCCGAGTAACCATCTAGAACCCCTCCATTAGGAAAGGCTGCATTTGGCAGACAAACATCTGTCAACTGAGGCAGTGTCAGTAAGAGCATAATACATATCAAATTTAGTTCAGACGAAGATTATGTGCTTGAGTAAGTGGGCTTGGTTCCTACCCTAATGGCAGGGAGTAATGCAATGGTAACAAATTTTCAGTTTAAAGTGAAAGCAGAAAGAATAAGAAATCAAAAGTTTCTGTATTTTGTTTGATGCTCACCCAAAAGAAAACCTCACCTGATGCTTGACAGGAAATGTGTATTTCACCCACGTAGCTTGCTGCATTGTTTCTTCTTCTTCTTGTTTTCTCTCTTTTTTTTTCACTTTCTCCTTTTCTTCTCTTTCGATTGCTGTCATTCTGCGTAACCTAATACATACAGATTGAAGTGCATTTAAGGACAGGATCTTACAAGCAAGTAAAATAAGTCAAACTGCAACATACAGTACCCGTCTGAATAATTGTAAACATCTAAAGTTAAGAGTAATGCCCAGTGCCAGATTATATGTATTACTTGCACCAGGAACACTACTTTTTCTGGCTATTCCAGTAAGACAAACACAGCTGCCTGCAACCATGTCTGACATCAGACACATCTTATTTCTGCTTCTATGACACAATGAGAGACAAAAGACAGGCTCCAATGAAGTGGGTGTGTTGAAATTTGCTCTTCTAGTCTCCCAGAGTTTTATCACTTTGGGACTGTGGCTCAGGTAAAGAAAACAAACTTGCTTTGCAGGAGCAATGAGGCTACAAAAACCTCGTCACGTATTTTCAGTATTTCTGGTTGAGAAAAAACACTTCCAAGTGCTGAATGACTGACTAAATTTAAACATAACTCTTCCAGGCTTAGGGGAACTAGTAATTGTAACACAAAGGCAAGTTCTCAGAGTCAAAAATACTGTTATGTTTATTTGTTTTACCTAGTGTGCCCCAACGACTCCCGCCAGATTGGCAGCATGACAACCGGTTTAATTGCACACTCCAATATAGCCAGCGCTAGTGCAAATTCTCTAGGTTTGCTGCACATCTGAACAGCCTTAATCCAGTTAGACCTAAATTGGAAACAAAGATAAAAACCTGAAACATACACATGCATTAATATTGCATGCTGTGTTAATAAGATTTAATGGTAGGAGAAAACCTCCCGTATTGCAATACTTTGCTCAAATGTGCAATCTTTTCAGCCATCCATCACCACGCACACGCGCGTTAGCTTGTATTTTAACACACTGAAGCATGGTGCTTGGAAATCATTGATGTGAAAAACACAAAGATCATTGCTTATTAATTCTGTTAGCCAAAATACAACTAAACCAAAGAGAATATATATTTTCATTTAGTGATTTACCTGTGGGAAGCCCAGTTAGGGTGAAGGAATGATGCCGGGATGTTGTTTTCTAGCTGAATGATAGTTAGCCTCAAAGTGGAAATGGTAAGAACTTTGGACCCATGTACAGACCCATTCCATTTGAACTCTCCAGCAGGAGTCAGACAGAACTTATGCGAGAGATGTCGTCTCTTGTCATGGTCCTCCCTGTGCTGGTGCTTGTTCAATGCGAATGAATTAGTGGCATATTGATTATGATAAACACGGTATTTCCCCTCCTGCCCTAATTTGAAATAATTGTTGATATTTCCTTTCATCACAACTTCCTTCTTTGTGTTCATTCGGGAGATTTCACCTTGAGAGTTGACCACCAGAACCTTGTAAAAGAAATAATAATTTTAAAGTTTTACTGAAGTTTCAAATATTTCTATTTATTTATGATTTAGGCTTCAACTGTCTATACATAAAACAATAAATCCCCCCTTGCATCAATTTGTAGAAGCAAATAATTGATTATCTGATATACTAAATATTTGTACTTCATCACTGATGTATAGAGTTAGGATATTCCCAAAGATCAACTTTAACATTAAAAAAACCACCATCCAGGCTCCCCAAGAAGTCAAACAGGAGCTCTCCTTGTTGCTCTGAATTATGCTTATTGTGGAGACACCTTTGGAAAAAACAGCTTCACTGCCTAAGGAAGCCTCCTGCGAAACCCCTTGTTGGCAAATCAGAGAATTCATACATGTAGCTAAGCAAACAAGTGTCTTTGACTTTGAAAAAAGGGCATGGGTAACATCACTGGTGTAATTACTCATTAACTGAGTTCCAAACTTGAGAAGTCTGTGAGTAAATATTCTAAGTGCTAACTTACAAGGAAAACCAGTTAACAAAAATAAAATGAATACACCAAACAATAATCAGAAAACAAACTGCAATGAACTCCTTGCATTCAAACACTTCTTTCCTGGAGAAACTAGGTTACTTAGAAAATCAAAACAAACCCCCAAGAAACCAGCCAACAACCTATAGCCATACAAAAAACATACCACTGCACTGAGTCACTGTCACACCTCTGTAGATAGTAACTAAGAACAAAGGAGAAGGAGGGTAAAAGCTTCCTGTGATTAAATAATTTGCTAATTTATTATTCCTACATTTTTTTAAAGCATCTTCATAGTCTGCCAAAATCACTTTTTTACTTTCAAAATATGATCAGGTTTGCACAACATTTTCACACTTTGAGTTTTCCAAGAAGTGCACAAACCTCTCTGCCTTCTTTATGCAACTTATTTGCTTCATGTGCTGCAGCAGCCACCTGCTGGCTTTTCATCTGGCTCAACTTGCTATCTGGATTTCGTGATCTCGTAAGCATTCGCGTCGAACCTGCCGTGCCTTTTCCTGCGCCTGGAGAGTCGCTTCTTTCACCATTAGATTTCTCTCCTGCCCAAGGGAAAAAGGCTTTTAAAACAAACTTAAGAATTGGAAGTTTTCTATTAGTGTATGGCAATTAAAAAGATGCATAAAATGAAAGTCAGAGATACTGTTCTTATAATTATTATTATTACCTATGTCCTCTGAAGTCTGGGATCCCCTCTCTGCATTCTCAGCATCATCAGGAGTCCTAATGGAGTCGTTCTGCCCAGAGCCCAGCTCACTGCCGTTGCTGTTCTCAACATCTGACGGTAGAGGTGCAGCAGATACACTGCTACTGTTGCCAGGGATCATCTGACCAGTTTCTTCTACAAGAGAACAACTTCATTTTAGTTCTTCTTTTAAATTAGATCAAGGCAATTTTTTTGTGTTCTGAATTTTTCATCAAAAAAAGGCCAGATGAACATATTTTGCTGGACTGGAGGGAAACACCTATAAAATATTAATTCCCTCCAGAGCACTGTATCCATGGAAGTATATTTTGTTCTGTTCCAAGCAGTTTCAACTCCTACAGCTCTGAAGAGTTGAAATTCACACTTGCATGAAATATGAATGTATGTTAAATAGAAGACAATTTCTTTCCTATAGATGCACACACAGAGAACCCTCTACTGAGACTTTGTTTTGCTTTCAGAATGCGCATTTCATGAAATTTGGTCTTCCAGCAGCTTTTATGATTTTAACTTTTTTTATTCTCTTATTCTTTAGCTTACATCTTTCAGTTGACCTCCAGTTTACCACCAAGTTTTTGGCTGTCTCTTCTTTAGCACAGTAATTCTGAGGAATCCTACAGGTTTCAGGTCTGTTGGCACCACTCTGTATCTAAACTCCTCCTCTGGAAACTTCAAATCAGCCTCTTAGAATCTGATGGGTCTAAGTGTTGCTTCAAGCTCAGTAAGACAAATGAGTTCTTGGTCCTCAGCTGTCCTTGCTACTGTCTGTCTTGACAACTCACAGTGCTAAGGCGTACTGACCTTTTGACTAAAGCATCAGTGAATTGCAGCTACCTAGGAATAAATCCCTCCAGCTTCCCAGTATCAACAAGCTGCTCTTCCTTGCTCTTGACTGTGTGCAGGAGATACAGCTCAGCTTCAAAACCCACAAGATTTGACTGTTTCTAGAATTCTTTCCAAACATCAAGGATTCTGCTGATTTTATGCAAGGTGACAGAACAAAACCTGCTATTTGTGAAGCACTCACTCCTAGCAGAAAGGCCACTAGGTAAGTATTCTGGGGCTCTTAGAAGATCCCAAACCTGAATGCACCAGTGACCACCACTGCTCAATCCATTTCCCTTTTGACTAAGAGGAAAAATGAAACCATTTGTGGTGCGTGTTGTTTGGAAGAGAGTGCAAGCACCCAAGCTAGACTCTTAATAAAAGACTAATACCCAAACTGCATTTAACAAGGGTGGTGACAGACATTCTTGTCTAGCTTTGCATTTTACTTTTATTTTCCCCCTCTTTAGGGGAAGCTGCCTCACTGACTCTGGTTCAGTATCTCTCCCTGCCTCTGAAATGAGAGCCTCAAACGCAAATTTCATCATAGAACAGAAGTATCACTATGAATATAGTAAATGAGACATAAACAAGAATCTTCTCCACACACACACGCTTTCCTACAAAAAAAAAAAGCCCACTAATTTAGAACTAAGCTAGAAGCTTGGAAGGAGAAAAGTAATTATGAAAGTATAATAAAGAAATGATAGATACATAAGTGAAACTTTAAAAAAAGATACGAACCCATAAATGTCTGGAGCAAAGCTATAGGATACATAACTTTTCCATTAAACCTTTATGCAGTTATTTTAACTTTAAAATGGAATAAAAAAATATGAGAACAGATGAATATACTCGATCAAATATCTACAATGTATACTTATTGGCCCATGCAGTAGGAATCTATTAATAAAGTGCATTATGAGGCTTCCAGATTATGGATTAGTCCTAACATTCAGAATCTCCTCTTATTAAAAAGTTAATGACAAGGTTTGGATGCATTCACATTTGCAAGTTCAGGAACTGCAATCTGTATCTGAATGGAGAACTATTTCTGTAGGACAGAAAATGTTTACTACTGCATTTTGAAGCATAACACACAGAGTCTGACTGCATCACAGATATTATCTATAATTCTAAAATCGTACACTGGTAACTTATGGAATCAAGTCCCACTTATTTCCAAATCAAAAGTTTTAGAATTATTATTAAATAGTGTGTATGACTATTTTGGAATCACTGACATGTAGACCAAGACACGTTAGAATACAAGAGCCTCTGTGCTTATAATTCTGACATCTGTTTAAAATTCCTAGCATGACAACTTCAACCTTGACATTTCTATGCAATGCTTTACTCACTTGAATGAAAACGCTTTGTTTGTTAGTAATTCATACAGTAAATGAGAGGTTAAAGTAATAAACAAGCCAGCAGCAAATCAGAATTTGAAATCAACTTTGATAGGATGCTAAAAATCATTATGGATCAATATGGAAAAATAAAATCTACAGAAAATAGAACATAAAAAGCTTAGCCATAGTCATCTTTGGAAGGCATGGAAACAAATGCTAATGTCACAGAGGACCACAAATTTCAAGCACTAGTTGCAAGAAAATTAACTTTGGAATGTTAATGACAACGTAGCAGTAAAGGATGGCACTGCAAGCAAACAGCATGAGTGATATACGCTGTGAATGGTTTTAGTGGACAAATCAGAGAGAAAAACTTAACAGATTCCCCAAATTACAGAGGCATTGGTAACAGTGCCTTCTGTACCTGAGAGTTCCTGAGGGAGCTCTGATGCCACCTTCTTCTCTGCCACGTTGTTGCTCTCAAGGGTTTCTGACTGACACCCCATTGCGTTCTTCCCTTCAGAGCAACTAGTCTCTCCTGCAGAAGGATTTGTGTTGTTGTCATCAGTGCTTGATGTCACAGAGTTACTTTTATCCCCAACGACTGTTGCCTCTATAGTAAAATGCACAACAAAACTTTAGGGATATTCTTTAGTATGTCTCAGGATGTCATTTGGCATCAGCCATAGAAAGCAACTTCAGCAGCTTGGTTTGTCTGTTTGATAAAGCTGAAAAACACTGAGCTTTTTCCTTCCTTTTTTTTTTCTTCTATGAGACAGAATTGTCTCCAAATCAAAGAACAAACTACTTATGATGAGGAAAACAATGTTAAAAATGATGTGATATTGCTTACTGCAAACATGTTGATCACAACCTGCAAGTGCCACCTGTACCTCAAGCCTCCTGTATCTACAAGCTAGCAGTATCTAACTTGAAAAGTAGGAGAACTGGTGAAATTATTTAACAAGAAAAACCATTACAATATACAACCACGAAAGAACTGACAAGTATCACCTATTACTTAAAAAGTAACTTAGACAATCATGCCCCTCATCCCCCAGATCACATTAATACTTAAAAAAATGTGAGGATCTCAACTGAAGATTCACTTTACTTCAATGAAGTTGTTAAAGCACAGTCATAGTTTCCTTACCTTCTGTTTTCACTTTTTCTGCATCTTGCTCAGTGGATGTTTCCTCAATTTTATCTTGATCTCCAGATTCTTCCTTGCTTCTCTCAGCATCTGTCTGGTCATTATCAGCATCACTTTTGGCCTTTTCTGCTTCATCATCTGCTGTGGTTTTATCTTCCACTATTTCTCCTTTTCTTGCTCTGATAGTGTCCAAAATTTCATCTACAATAGAAAGTATGTTGTCATCAATAAACAAACCAACCACCACCTACAGAGCCACAGAGCAGAAATAACATGACATAAATGCTGCTGCTTTTCAATGAGACAAAAGATAACATCCAACTTCTTACTACTTTTTCCCCCACTTAGAAGAAACAATTCTGCAGATTTAATTCTTGATTTCTAAGAGTTATGCATTTATATGTGATGACTTAAATCCAATTTTAAACCTGAATCTTCGATATCGTCAAGTATTCCTTAAAAACAAAGTTCAAACCTTCTCACATTTATTTTGCTATTTATTTATTGCTCCCAGGTAGATAACTTAAGCTGGTGAGGAACTGCAGAGGAGATAGGCATTATTCCACACTTTCCATAATATTGGAGTAAATACCAGAGCTCTAATACTTTCACTACTCCAACTCCCACTGGATTGTTATATATGTAAAAATCAAGACAGTACATCAGGAAACATATGACAGCTAACACAGTTCCACTTCAACACCTGGAACAATCACAATCTGGCACACCCTAACCATATCAAGAATCCAAATCATTCAGGACATCCTGGAATACACAATGCATAGTCGTACAAGAAGTCAGCTCTAAATAGCCATGCTGGTAGAGGTACACCTGCAAGATGCTTCTCCATCAGCTTCTGTAAACTTCTTATAATAAAAGAAACATAAACTAGTATTTGATTTAAAGTACATCTGTTCCCATGAAACAAAATATTCTTACCATTTGCTGCTGAAAGGAAAGACTTGTTGTTGCCCCTTGCTTTATTAGTGAGGTCTTCTGTTACATCCATGTGCCGATGAATCTCCTCACGCATTTCTTCCAGAGTTTTGCATAGGTCAGCTTCCCAGTAATCCTTGTCTAGGCATTCGATTAGCTCTGCCAGCTGGATCTTTGTGCTGAAGTACCAGATTTTCTTATCTTTCTCACTTTCTGAATCCTCCTCTCTGGAAGAGTATTGAGAAAATACGAATTTTAAAATATCTAAATAAATGACAAACATTAATATCAGCCTACTTTTAGCAGAGAACTGTTAAATGTCAATACCTGAGTGTGAATAACAAATCACATGAGGACACTCACATGCACCCAATTTAGTACACAAATGCTCCTCTCTCATTACCATCCCCTCAGAATTTCTCATTACAGTGTCCTCAGGAAAGCTTTTGATGTGTCTCCTTAGAATTGGTTTGTCCAATCTGGCAACAAGGTTTATTCTCTTTATATTTACTATTACTGTAACCAGTAATCTACTACTGAGTCTCAAACAATTTGCAATGAGAGAGGTATGCTGCAGAATGTTTCTGACTGCATCTTCGGGAAAGAGCATTCACCTGTGAAACAACTGTCATATTTCCAACTTAATCAGAATACTACTAAAATAAGGTGGTTATGAAGTTAATAATGGCAATATTACTCAAAATTCAACTACTAACTCATCACAACTATTACCACAAACGAGACTTTTGGTTTTGATGATAAAACCTGTTGTACTGCAAAGAAATAGTTTAATTTCTTCCATAAAGGCCCTTGCTCATGAAAAGCAACTAATTCTACCTTACACCCATTTACTCCTCTAGGCTACCAGTAACTTCCCATTAGTTTTAACAGGTGAGCATGGTTAAGTTCAACAAGTTCTCTCAGAAAACAGCTCATTTCAGGAAGACTGCCCACATACTACACATCAAAAAGTAACAGCTGAACACTGACAATCATTTGACTCTATGGAATATTCCATGCCTGTAGACTTCCATGTTAAAGAAAACTTATTGTTTAAGCCACGTTTCCTTTTAAACCAGGAAAGTCATCTACTAACAGTAACAGGAATGGCAACACCTTTGTTACTGATTGTGAACAAAAGCCACAAAAGAAGACAAAGTCGAATACCCAAAATCTAAGATGGAAGGGGAGATGAGGATGCAAGGATTCATCTTTATACAGCAAGAGGAAAGAAGAGGGTGAAACAAAATGCTTAACTAGAAAGGACAGGCCCTACTGAATTTTTCCCTGGCAAACGTCCAATGGAAGCAGGGAGAGCAAGACACTGGCAGAGCAGTAATTGTAAGGCTGCTCTGCTCCTTACAAACACGACTGTACAATATAATGCTGTTGCTAAGTTTATACTATAATTATTTCTTAACTCACTAAAAGGGGAACTTTAGCTCTTCATTTTGAGCCCCTAGCTCATTACACAACTATTTGCAGCATAGATATGCCATTTCTACACCATCTTATATGACCTAGATATGCAACAATATGAACGCTTTCTATAGATCCATCATTCCGTGAAGCAAGGCTGTGCAAGTACCCATTTGCCAGTCAAGCAGCTCAGACATAGAGCCTTGTACACCTTGCCTAAATTTTGACAGTGACCATCCAAGCATGTTCTTTTTCCACATTCTCCCCCCATTTAGCAAACCTGAAACCACTGCAGCTATGCTAATGCCTCCAGGATACGTATGTATGTCACCTGAAAATCCCAAGCAACATCTCCCTTTTCTTTTCCCGTCAGTTCTTTCTATTCTTGTGTTACAAGGTTCCATTGGACTGAAAAGCAATTAGCTGTTATCTTCAATTTCCCTATGTAATCAAGAAAAAGCCTGCAGTACCAGTAAAGGTCTGCTGTACTGCAAGCCAAAAAAACCCAGAGCCACACTGTGAAGATTCAAAACACTAGACCACAAAGATTGTATTCTGCAGAATGCACCTAGAGCTAATCTTTCATTGTGCGATTCAAGTCCTACCCATTAAAGACCCGTTCAGATAATATTCTAGAAATGGACAATGAAGTTACCCAAGAGTATTTTATTTTCCTTTTACTTCATTTATACAGGGTTTTGAGCACAGAATTTCTCTTGAACTAAAGGCTATTGCAACCTTAGTAACAGAAATTCAGGAATTAGTGTTTTCTCTTGACAAAAGCACAGATAGAAAATGAAAAGGCAGAAGCTTGCTGTTATCCTTACACAAAACTCATCTTTGCTCAGACTTCTTCCCAAGACTCAGGTGTGTGCCAGTGGAAGCCCTGGAGTGCTCATAACCAACTCGCTAACAGGCAAAGAGCTACAGCAGAAATCATTCTATGCAATCCATCTGGCAAAGCTGATTAAGATTTAAATTAATAATGAAAATATTTAAGCTGACTTCCCCTGAACACCACCTTGCATTGGCTAAAGGGACACTACTTTTATCCTGTGAAAGGCTATCATGAAACAAGATAGAAAGATGCAAATTTACACAAGGACCAATTTCCAGTGTTTTTCTCTGGCGAGCCAGACTTGATGCCGGACAGGTCTACTCTGTCTCCAGGGGACTGTTGAGTCACATACATGAAGTGAGGCCAAGCAAGGGAGAGAAGAATCACATGAACATTTCCTACCTCTTTCAGCCTCCTGCACTGCCAGGAACTATTCACTGGCAGGCTTTAGAGGCAAGTTTTCAGACTGGTAAACTAACAACATTGAATACACTCGAAACTTTCAAGTAAAGTAGTAACAGTGGCTACACCCTTTCCCGAATTCCATGCTGATACAATTAGACACAAGAATTCAGTCACCTGTTTAAAGTAACCTATTCAAACAAAGATCCAAAACCTTTTTAAGTAATTAGAGAAAATTGAGCAGGTCTTGCTAAGAACATAAAGACCATGACAAATCTTGCAGAAAAAAAGATGAAATTGGATTTTTTTGACGATCAAGATGTTTGTAACTCAGGAATAACAATTTGTGTCTTGCTTCTGCTATCAAAATGAAAACCAAACAGTGTTTCATCTGCTTTCATAAATGTCTGACAAATCCAAAGCGTCTCAGTATTTCTAGAAAGAAAACCTGTAAGAACACTGCAGCAGTTTACAAGGAGAATGCAAATCAAAGCCCTAAATTTCCTGACTTGTTAACTTGCAGAAATGACCTTCACAAGCAAAACAAATGCAACAGACCCGGAGACATCATCCTAAATTCGTAACAGCTTGAAACAAAATACTCGGGAATTTATTTTCTCTTGACCACAGGATTGTTTTAAATCTTGTTGCTATTTGCTCCTGGGGATGTACGGGAGGAGATCTCCTCAGTGCCTACTTTTTCATCTTTGTAAAACAGAAGAGGTGGAAAAGAGAAGAAGATCACAACAATGGGCTTAAAGAAGGCTTATACCCTCAGCAGGTGATGAGCATGGGAATAAAAGTATCTGTGAACAAGAAGAAATCTACAAAGCCCTTTAAAAGATGGGAAAACCAGTGGTATGAGGGATTTAGAACATTTATAAGGAGAGAGAAGCAGTAAGAAGCCCTAAAACCCCCTTTGGAAAACAGAAAAATGCAAGAATTCAGGATTTCAGTTCCTTAATTCCCCTGGGCAAGATTTCAAATCAGTGTTTGTGCAGATTAGTTTTAGATCTGTTAGTTTCTTCTGATACATTTGATCACACGACATTGGTGAATATACTCTATTAATTTTAATAAACTTGATATGATAATATTAATGAATCTCAGTTTTTAGCATTTGGTAATTCTCCTTAAGTCAACCTTCAGTTATCCAAGACACCAGGTGTAGTTTGATCTTCTTTTATATATATATATGTGACATGGTTGAGTTTGCAGTACAGCATGCTTACTGAACCTAAAGGACATTAAAACTGGGAAGTACAGAGTTTAATATCTATGTGAATTATTAAGACTTACATTTCCCTGGAATTTAGTTATGTAGTAAATACTTCTGTGCCCTTATGAAGTGGCTTTGGCATGAAGCTTCAAGGCACATGATGCATAAATTTAATTATGCATAATTAAATGCATCAAAGTCCTATGAAAAGTCCAGTGGAATTTGTTGGTTCTGTACATCCCACACTGCTGTTGAAGAGAGCTGCTGCTGCTGCAGATCTACCAGAACAACTCACTATCTGTTTGCTTTTCCAATTCCATCAGCAGGATTTGAAATTTTTTTACTCCAAACCACATACTTCAGGAAGAACTTGTTTTGGAGGCATGCACAGGTACATTTACACTAGCAGAAGGCATGATGTCTAATGGCAGCAAGAAGGATAGGGACTAGTAGGGGAAGAATATTTCGACCTTGATGATCTACATGAGAATACAAAAGCAAGTCAGGAAACAATGGCTGAACTGCATTTCTTGCCTTCGTAAACATAAGAATACTTTTCCATTTACATTTTGAACTATTTTGGTCACTGACAAAACCTCAGTAAAATGGAAAATCCAATAAAAATTTTCCTTTTGCTGTATTGTTTACAGTTCTCATCTATTTTGATCTGAAACGGAATACTGATGTCTCTCGGAATAAATCCCAAGAAAGATACAAAACTTAATTCATAAAACTTGAAACTAGTAATTTGCCCACTGAATTCTTAACAGGAATGCAAAATCATTGAAAACCAAAATACATTCAACCTTTGAAGGTATCTTTTCTAGTGCAGTTAGAATTACTACCAGTGTGCCAAAGAACTTTCACCCATGCAAGATTTATTTTAGTTTAGAATACATTGAAGTACTGCCTGTATCAAAACTTCATGAGCATCAGGTATTACTCTTCATTAAGAAGAAAACATTGTTTCATAGATTAAGTTTAGTCAAAAATAATCACCAACCTGTCTGTGTACTGGGGGCCTGTTTATCTTAAAATGAGCTCCGGAGTGAGTGACACTGGATTTTTTAATGCTAATTCCTAGACCTCCAATGGCAAGCAGAATATAATTGTTCTGCCAGTACAGTAGAGCAGTGAGAAACCCCTATCTTTAGAAGAACCTTTTCCTCAAGAGTTCTCAAGAGAGAACTCAATTTTATCTCAAGAGATAAAAGTCATGCACTATAAGACCGCAAGTTATGAAAACAAAGGTAATTAGAACAAAAAGAGTTTCAGTTGCATGCCTTTCACAACCAAGCTTTTTGCAAAAATCAAACTTTCAACTCATTTTCTGGAAATGGAAGGTAGAAAATTATATATGAAGCAATGGAAGAATTAGGATTTCAACAGCTTCAGGCTGACCATCACATACTGCTGAACCATCTGAATGAGACACCACATTGTAGAGCATGTGAGTGAGTATAAAAAAAAGGTAGGAGTAGAAAAGATTACTTGATACTACTGTGGCATTTATAACCCAGGAAACTAAAAATAATCAAACATGGATTCTTTCTTCACAAGTGTAAAAGAATACACAGGAAACGAAAAGTGGTGATAATTAATACTTAAAGCACCATTAGAGAAATTCACCGTTAGAGAAAGAGCACTGTATTTTAAAGGACCAAAATGAGTCCTTTGAAGTGTCTTGTTTCTAAGATGTTAACACCATCAACAGTCACCACAACCCCTTTTAAAGACACAGGCTAATATCTTGACCTTCAGTGTGAAACATTTTTTGTGCAATTCTGTTAAAGTACCCAGCGGTGGCTTATTTTCTCCATAATGCTGAATGGAAAATTGTATTTCAAGAAATCTAGTAAAATACCTTTGTTTTTCCTAAATTACAATACTATTGGTTTCACTTAAATACTGTTTCTTTGCCACTATGAGAACAATTACCTAAGAGCAGTCTTTTATAAGGAAAAAAAAAAAGTATCTTTAGCTATTTTCCTGTGAAAAAATGTACAATACTCTTATAATTTCAGATTCAACTTTTCAGGTAAAAACAATAGGACACAATGCCCTCACTAACAAGGGTTTGATTAGTATTAATGTTTTGAGATACATTAGTATCTCAAAGCCAACCAGTAACAGGAAACTTAAATATACAAAGTAGATCGCTTAAAGACCGGCGTTTCTTACTATTTTGACTTTCTTTACATTACAGAAGTGTTCACATACAATATTTTCTGCATTTCTATTTAAGAATTGTGCTGAATACATTCAAGTACCTTTGAAAGTCTTAGCTTCAAACCAGTAACAATATTTAACAGCCAAATACTAGCTAAGCAGGTGAAAGTATACAAAACTAGTGTCCTATACACCACGTGATCACAAAGAGAGTTAATCTACTTTTCAGTAATTTTTACAAGAAACTGGAGAGTTCTTACTAAAATTCCCTGTCTTTTCCTCACATTCACGTGTTTTGGGCATATTAATATTAAGCCAGAGGCCCTGGGGTTTTTCCCCTTTTTATATACAGACCATGAGAATACTTATTCTGGAGAAAACTGATGGATTATTTACAGGGAAATATTTACATAGAAATTTTCTTACAAAACAGCAAACAATGGTCTTACCTAATGAAAGAACAGTTTTAAGATGGCAACAGCAACTTACAGGATATATTAAAAATCCATTCGATGCAATATTATTATTCAGAAAATACTAAATAATTCCTTTACTTACATAATGATTCTTCTGTTCAGGAACCAGTATTTTCGTCTATGCCTGTCATATCCAATAGGTTCATGTCGAATGTAAGGTTTATTTTTTTGGATTTCAGCAACACAGTCAGTTACTCCAGGCACCTTATGTGCTACGCAGACCTCACACTGCCATTCATCTTCTGGTACCTCTTCAAGAGGTGGTTTCACGCACTCCAAATGGTACACAGCTGAACAAGTTTCACAGCAAAGCAAATCCCCAAGTTTGTGACAAACCCTACAATGATCATCATACTGAATAACACCTTCTGACATTAACTCTTCACGTGCAATGTTTGTTGTAAGAAACTGATCCACTAAGAACTGCAGAACTTTGATTTTATTCTCTACTGGTCCATAAGGATAGTCCTCTGTCTCTTGGTAAGGAAGAACATGATGGTATTCCTTGTCACTCTCACAATATACCCGCAGAACCTCTGGCCACGTCATTCCATCTATGAAATACAAAGTGGAATTAACGCTATCTTTGAGGTCAGCAGGTCCAAAGGTAGTATTTGAAGTGTCTTCTTCACGTAAAACTGCTTTTAAAAGCACTATATGCATCTCTGCCATAAGCGTGCACTGCTCTTGACTTACCAGAGCAGCACAGAAGTCCTCAAAACGAAAAGGAGAGAGGCGTAAAACAGTGCCAAAGTTCCTTAGTACCTCATAGATGGCAATAACATTCATTATATGCTCACTAGGCACCATTAAGTCCTCTGAGGATTTAGGAAACTCCAAGGGTGGGATATCTTTTTCTTCCAATATTGGAGAACGAGGACGATGCACTCTTTGTCTTCTCCTACCTGGAATAAAAAACAACAATAAGAATCTTGCCATTCAGTGGTCAACATGTTTAAACACCTATGAGCAATGACTGTGTCAAACTTTCTAAGCCACTGCAAATTAAGGATTCACATCTTTAGTTACATGTGATAATTCATCTAATAATCTTATACTTTAATTAACAATATGAAAATAAAACACATAAGATAGCTGAAGTATTGCTTTAGACACTTAGAGCAGCTGCATTTCCCATGTAATGTGATGAATCTTTGAAATGACACCTAGAATTTTGTTTAAATTATTTAAAAAAGACATTTCCTTCAGCCAATATATTAATTTAGAAATTTTTCTCCTTTTTATTCATGACTAGTTTATCATTCCTTCCTGGAATTTTAACTTTAAACTTAAAGCATCGAGCTTCAGACAACAGATATTTCGTATTTAAATATTGCAAGCTATTTTCCTGTCCAGAGACAGCACACAGAGAGATCATTTCAAGCAGATGTCTTAGGACATCAATTTCAACCAAATTAGAACACAAAACAGAACCTAAATCACTTTCTCCACTACCTTCTAACTAGAATATTTATCCTGGATACCTACAAGCCAGAAACAAAAGTTAAATGTGATATGATACGAAAATTATTCAGGAACTCCCGATCTTTCAAAACAAAGCACAGAAAAAACACTTCAATAAGCCAGGAGATATCTCCACAGAATGAGGAGGCGGCAGATTTATGGAAGGACAAAGCCTAACACAAAAAGCTTGTCTGAAGAGCTGTTTCACTACCTAAAAGAATAGATACTGAGCATAATTAATTCAGACTCAGATGCTAATTCAGATGAGATGCTACACCTTCTTCCATTTAATTCCACTATCCTTGATGCCAAGCAGAAGGGAAAACAAAAGAGGAAAGTTTCTGTACATGGCACTACCAGATAGATGAAACATTTCAATCTTCTACCGAAATAAAGCATCCAGCTATTTTGCTGGATATATATGCAAGTATTTTGCAGTTATCAGTTAAAGTATTAATATGCAATCAAGTTAGGCAATCTCATAAACAAATCATAAAACTATCTTACTGGTTTAAAACCAAGTTTCAGTCATCTTGGATGTTACCATGAAGAGGAAATGGTTCTCTGTGGCATTTGTTCAAGCCACCCTACTCCCTCCAATACTCCCACAGACACAGGAAATAAGTCTAACTGGGCAGTTATCAGTTAAAGTATTAATATGCAATCAAGTTAGGCAATCTCATAAACAAATCATAAAACTATCTTACTGGTTTAAAACCAAGTTTCAGTCATCTTGGATGTTACCATGAAGAGGAAATGGTTCTCTGTGGCATTTGTTCAAGCCACCCTACTCCCTCCAATACTCCCACAGACACAGGAAATAAGTCTAACTGGGGGCAAGACCTGCTAAGGCATTTTGAACCTAAATACACCATCATTAAAACTTTAATGCATTGAAAAGGAAAGAAAAAAGTTACCTAAAAGAAAAGCTACCTTTTAGAAATATCTTGATGCGTAATAGCCAGTTTGCCAAATGATTCCAGAAGATAAATAAATCAATCATTGAGCTAGACTGGCAAGATGACACCAGATACATCTCTCCCTCTCAAACTTTGAAGAATGAAATCTTACACAACAAATTAGACACTCTAAAGCAGTATAGAAGATGAACTGCCAGATGTTTCCATTACAGAAGTAATGGGTCAACACCATCTGTGTATAAAAATAAATTTCCAAGTTTAGTGAAGCTCAAGTTCTGCCTGTGGAAAATGAAGGAATGCTTGTATGACTGGCTTCCAAGATGCTGCTGCACAAATCAGTGGAAAATGTTTAATCATGGCAAACACACAAAAACACAGGAGTTTCACAGCCAGACACAAAGCAAGAAACATCTAGATTAAACTCAACTTTTCTATCAGCATGATCCAAAAATCATTATCTGCATAAACCACAGTTGGTCTAATTAAAAGATCTCAAAGCAAAACACACAATTGCACACTGATTAAACTACGTTAGGGTCCTGAAGCTTCCTTCAGTATTGCAGGATGGTGTAAGACCAGTCCTAGAAGCTTACCATGCAATACAACAGCAATGCAAAATGGGTATCTGAAATCACTGATGGTGTTCACAGAGCCCAGATATCACAAAAAGTGGCAGAGCTATAAAATAGGATGTTTTTCAGTGTTTGCCACTGAAGCAGCAGAAAAATGTCTGTCACACAGTAAATCCAGGAAAGAAACAGCCTTTCAAGAAAGCATGCAGCAAGAATGATAACCCTGGTTTACCCAAATTAATCAGAAGTGACACAGCCCCTCAGTATTTTCAGGCAAAGATAAACTAAAATGAAGGAACACGGCTCAAAGAAGCAAAGACTCCCTATTTCCTCTCAGTTGTTGAGATTTTCTGCTCCAAGAACAAAAATACTATTGTCCTATGCATGGCTTTTATCCTTCATTTAAAGAAATCCCAAACAAACAAATACCGGTCTTGCCCTATACCATCTTTGTTGATGTTTCTTTCACAACACTAGTACGTTTCTTACATCAAATTAACAAGAGAAGCACAAAAAGGAACCTTAAAACAGGCATTCCTATTATCTTCTGAAAAAGTTTAAGCCCTCTAACACCTCATCTTACAGAGGAAGCATATTGGTACAATTAGAGGTCTAGAATAAATGTGCTATTGGGACGCAGAGTATCTCATACCACCATAATAAAGAATTGATTTTGCAACTATAGTGCAACAGTATGGTTGCATTATTCACACCACTTCTCATCTTCTATTTAAATCAATTTACATATTTTCAAGTTTGCTTTGGTATACAGCACAGAAATCTCTGAAGTAATTGTAAAACCAATAGTTTAGACAATAAGGAAAAATACATTGCATTGTAAAATGTATGCTCATTTGTCCACTGCTCTGTGTTACGCCTCATAGTATGCAGCCCAGTTACTGTATCATACCACTCAACACTGCCAACCCATACTGTAAATCACACACCACATCTCAAGAGCTCAAATCATTTCTCTTTTTGGACATTGAACTGCTTTGAACAATTCTGCACTGCATATAACCCATTTCCCAGAGCTGAACAAAAAGAAAGTAGTCAAAGATGTAAGAAATGGTACCCAGCCATATTTCCTGAATGGCTCGGTGGCATGGTATTGAAAATCTTTCTAGGTTTATTTCAAAATTCACTTTCAATTTGTTACTGATTTTTGCTGTATCTGGCTTGAACAGAACTTGAAGCCAAGAAGAGAATCACAAAGTGTGATTTGGAAATTCACAAGTTCCAAGCTAATTTGTGCTTAAAAGAACTTGAAGCCAAGAAGAGAATCACAAAGTCTAATTTGGAAATTCGCAAGTTCCAAGCTAATTTGTGCTTAAGCATATTCCTGTTCGATGCATCAAGTGCAATCTCAAGAAACACTCCAAATAACTTTAGAAAACAAACCCAAAACCCCAAACCAACAAAACCAAGCAGTCTAATCTCCAGTGAAAAACACGGACATTCTCTGCCAAGGTGCTCATAAAACTTGAAGTACACTAAATGGCTGTTCAACTTAAATTACAAGTGTGGACCAATGGCACAGGATATAACGATGACAAAGTCCTATGGTCTCTGTTTTGGGCTGAAATGTTTGTATTCTGCTGGTTGGGTGGATAACCCTCTCCATCACAACTAGCCTTGACAGCTGAAGAAAGGTGGTTTGGAATTCCAAATAAGGACTGCAGGCTTCTTTGTTGATTCTGTTAATAACAATTTCCTCATTGCCAGTTATCTGCAGTGTGCTGACAACCTGCACAGCTCATGCTACTTAGAAGCAGACTGAACTTCTGTGAAGGTTTTTGAAGCTCACAGTTCATATTTACCCAACTGTTCTTCATACACACCCTCAAATTTTGGAAACCAGTTTTCCTACAGTAAACATATCCAACCTTCCAAGCTTTTCACTTTCCAGGAAAATCTTCTCCTTTCCACAAGGCAACACATCCAGTGCTTGAATTTGGTATTCACTGGCAGACACACCCACCCTCCAAAACAAAACCATACCCCAGCACCTTAATATACATTTAAAACAATATATGGAAGTGAAATAGAGTAACAAGTCAGTGCAATGACCGCACTGAGGAGGCAACAGAATTATATGTTGCTCTTTTCTTAACTTTGTATTACAACATCACCTACTGACATTAATATTTTTCAATTTATCTTGGTATAGTTTAAATAACTTGGGATAAATCACTTTTATGATTTGCCCTGGATAATTTCCCATTTGTGGAAACCTCATAACAGCAGTTTTTTTCATTTTAAGTAGAAAATGCAACTACTCCTGTACTACTTTGTCTAAAACAAAGCAACATTAAGAGGATTCCAGAGCAAGCGTTCCAACAGCAGGTACTTCGCCTTTAAGCACCACCACCTGACTAGACTTCAAACTGAATCTAGATGTACCTACTGTCAGTTAAAGAAAGTCAATTTACTCACACTGAAGATCCCCCAAAGAATGTGAATTGTATACTTCTAAGATCATTTCTGCATATGAACCAAATCCCTGAACCAAATTCCACCTTCAGGTTTGAGCCATTACAAAGAAAGAAAAAGTCCACTTCTACACCATTCAAATTCTACAGCTTTATCTGGAAGGAGAAATTGATCTGCAAATAGCCTCCTGCTGCCACAACTGGACTATTTACAGGCTCCAGATCATCTTGAGCATCTCAGCGTTACACTTCTACCTAGCATAAACTTCTTTTAAATCACATTCCTTCTCTAGTTGTCTCCAAAAGAGATAAAGTCTGCAATGGCTGCATGTCCCTATTTTGAATTCTCTAGTTGAAGAGCTGCCTGTAATTAAGATTAAAGAGTAAACAATTTTATTCACATGGCACATTTAATTATAGATATTGATAATTACAGTCTACACTTACTATAATCTATTAAAATAATTTATATTACAAATATTTAAGCAACATACTAATGATATCTGCAATAAAATAA